TTTTTAAGCTTCTGACCTTTTCCCCCCCTCCAGAAGCCTCTAAGGGGAGGGAGGGGGCACTTTTTTCCTGTTCGTAACTCGAGGGAAGTTCATATGTTGAGTATATAATTTCCTATCGGGCGGGTTCGTAAGTCGAAAAGTTCGTATGTAGAACCGTTTGTAAGTTGAGACCCCACTGTATGTATGTATGTATGCATGTCTGTGTATATATGTATGTACGTACGTATGTGTATTTCTACCCTGCCCCTTTAGTGAGCATGCCACTACTCTGGGTGGCTTACAAAATATTATAAAACATACAGCTAAAATATTTAAATATAAAACATATTAAGAAAGACAAACAAAACTCCCCTCCCCCTTAAAATCACCAGACCTAGGATGGCAGACAACGGGCCAGCATAATTTTACAAAAGGGTGGTGCTTGGGAAGGCCTGGGTAAGAAGCCAGGCTATAATGTGCTTCTGGAAGCTCAGGAGGGTGGGGGCCAGTTGCAGCTCCATGGGAAGAGAGTTCCAGAGTGGAGTGGCCACTACTGAAAAGGCCTGGTTTCTGGTTGATGCTTTCTGGGCCTCTTTTGGAATGCCCCTACCCAAACATTAAAGACTGGGAGGTGTGGGTGGGACAGGAAGATGACCTGAGGGAGAGGTGCTCTAACAAGTAGCAAGGTCCTAAACTGTAAAGGGCTTTATAAGTTAGCATCAATACCTTGAATTTGGCCCGAAAGCATAGTATGAACAGGCTTCACAAATTTTTAACCAGTGGAACAGAATGAAAGAAAATGGAACATTTTTAAATGAATAAGTTATCACTAGATGCTGTTGATCTTTGAGATTTCTTAGAGTGGAAGATGTTCTAGTCTGCTTGGAAGCCATACTGAGGGCACAGAAAAGTCCTGCCTATTAATAAATTGGTTTAGCTGTGGTTTCACACTGTTCAGATAAAAGCACTCACAGCTTACATTCAGAAGAACTGCAATTCACCTTAAATATTCTAGCATTGAGCCTTGAAGCTAAACATACGTTCTAAGGTTATGCCTCGCCTTTCACTAAACCTTCCCTATCTTCATACTTCGTGGTAAGTAGCGGCCGATGTACCTCCGTACTGATGCATACATTAGCAGAAGCCACAATAACTGAATTACTTGGCTTTCATTTGGGGTGGACAGTTTCAGTGGCCTTGGAGGCCAAAGGTTAGCCCTCCAGACCCAATCCATGGGCCACATCCAGCCTGGAAATGCCCCAAAAAGCGATTTTTTGTTTTTTAAAAAGAAACAAAGTAAGAGGGTACTGATTTGGGGGCAGGGCAGGGGTAGCCTCATCATTCTTTGCTTCTTCCCACACTGCAGCAAGGTTCTAACACACCAATACTTGCACTCATTGCTGCTGCAGCCAAGGTCAGGCAGATGCTTCAGAAAAGAATGTGTATACAGTACAGTGGTGCCTCGCTTAGCGACGTTAATCCGCTCCAGGAAAAACGTTGCTAAGCGATTTCAGCGCTAAACGGAATTAAAAAGCCCATAGAAATGCATTAAAACGTGTTTAATGCATTCCTATGGGCTTCAAAACTGACCTTACGCGAAGATCCTCCATAGGGGCGGCCATTTTCGGTGCCTCTAAAGCGAGGCAAAACAGCGGGCTGCCGTTTTGTTTTTCTGGCAGCCATTTTTGAACTGCCGATCAGCTGGCCGAAAATGGGGGCTTTGCGATGATCGCTTCCCCACGATCATCGCAAAGTGATTTTTCCCCATAGGGGCCATCGCTAAGCGATCGCTCTGGCGATGGCCAAAACTCCATCGCTAAGTGATTTCATCTCTCAAAGGAGCAATCGCTAAGCGAGGCACCACTGTATTTGCAAATCTTATTACTGTATGCACTGCTTGTGCTGTGCCAAATCTTATTACTGTATGCACTGCTTGTGTGGTTTCCATCAATTCAAACAATTCCATCTAAAGACTCCCTCTGCTGGCTGAAAATTGAAATGCCATGGAAAAGAACATACTGTATACTCTTTTCAGGGTCAGATACAATGGCAGAAATGGTTCTCAGGTATCCAGCCCCTGTCAAAATATGACAAACTCTGCTGGCATAATTTAGGTCATTTGGCTGCAGCTACTATTTGATATAGACCTGAATACACACCTGGAGTAGATCTACAAAAGCTAACTGAAGGAGTAAATGGGTGGAAGAAACCAATTGCAGAAATGATGACTTAATTAATGTTATAGCGGACACCATTGGTCAGAAGCCATAGGGACAAATGGGAAGGTAAGAACAGTAGTTTTCACAAAACAAAGACTTTTTTTGAAACCTCTGCATTCTTGTGAAAGACACTACAGCTATTCTGATTACAGCAGTATATATTGAATGCTCAAAATGAGACACAGTACCAAGTCCCCAAGCTCAGTGCTCAAGTCTACTACAGCTGCTCCAGCTTCCCCATCTGTTTTATCTTTTTCAAAAGCCTTTTTATAACAGCCAAGAGCTCTGTTCTTATCTCCAGCGATATCCTTATAGTATTGCCCCAAGTAACGGAAAGCACTTCCAAGGTAGGTGTCAAGTTTTGCTGCCTGAAAAGTAAAAATAAAAACATTTTACTCCATTGTTTTCAAATGAATAAAACATCATTTTGAAATGTGCAATGATTCTGTTAACAAAAACTGAAAACCCCTGACTTGGCAAATAAGCTGGCTCTTAAAATCAGGGAAGAAAATGACCATGAAATGGCCTACTTGCATCATTCATGTGTTTCTAAGGGAGAATCATTTACCTTCCCATCCAAAGGAGACCATTATAAGGTAACCTAATTTAGCAACAGATGACCTCAGTAACTATAGGCCCATTGCAAACATTCCATTTCTGAGCAAGCTGCTGGAGAGGGTGGCGGCTGACCAGCTGCAACCATTTTTGGAAGAAATGGATAGCCTAGATCCATTTCAATCGGGGTTCAGATTGCACCATGGAATGAAATGGCATTGATCGCCCTGCAAGACAATCTCCTGAGGGAGGCAGACAGTGGAAGTATAACCTTACTGGTCCTCCTGGATCCTTCAGTGGTCTTTGATGCCATCGACCATAGTATCCTTCTGGAACAGTTATAGACAATCTCCTGAGGGAGGCAGACAGTGGGTGTATAACCTTACTGGTCCTCCTGGATTCTTCAGTGGTCTTTGATGCCATTGACCATAGTATCCTTCTGGGACAGTTACTGAGTTTGGGACTTGGGGACTCCATTCTTCAGTGGTTCAACCCTCCTTGATGGCCAATCCCAGATGGCACAGCATGAGGTGGTGTTGACCACCCCTTTGGATCTCCGTTATGGAGCTCTGCAGGGATCTGCAGGGATCGGCCATTTCCTCAATGCTTTTTAATATCTAATATGGAGCTCTGCAGGGATCTGCAGGGATCAGCCATTTCCTCAATGCTTTTTAATATCTATATGAAGCCACTGGAAAACATCATTCAGAGATCTGGAGTTCGTTCTCATCAACTTGCAGATGGCACACAGTTCTATCTCTCATTCGCTTCACCAGCAGATGATGTTGTGCAAGTCCTTGAGTGCTGTTTGGTGTAGATAATGGACTGGACAAGGGCAAACTGAATCCAGACATGACAGAGATCCTACTGTTGGCAGGATTGTCAGACCAGTTAGAACAATATTTACCTGGCCTCGATGTGGTTACACTTCCCATGAAGGATCATGATCATAGCCTGGGGAACTCTTGGACCCAGCTCTCTTTACAGAGGCATAAATATCTGCTGTGGCCAAGAGTGCCTTCTATCAACTTGGTGGATTGCCCAGCTGCACCCCTACTAAATAAGGAATGCCTAATAATAGTGGTTCATGCATTGGCAATCTCTAAAACAGACTACTGTAATGCTCTCCACATAGGGCTGCACTTGAAGTCAGGATGGAAACTTCCGCAGCCAGACTAATTACAGGGTACCAGCAGACAGGGACGCATATCCCAGTCTTGTCCTGCCTTAATTGGCTCCCTATTAGTTTCTCAATTTAAGGTGCTGGTCATAACCTATAAAGCTCTTAATGGTTTGGGACCTCAATATTTGGTGGAGCATCTCTCCCACAAAATAGCTGTGTGTTCTATCTCTGCTCCTTGCAGTCCTTAATTTTAAAAATTGTGACATCCAGGGAGGCAAAAAAGCCAACACAAGGAACAGAGAGTTCTCTGTGATGGCCTCTTCCCTCTGGAATATGCTTTCTAGAGAGATCTGCCAGGCACTGTTCCTCTTGATTTTTAGGAAACTAAGAAAGAATTATATAAAGCTGTCGTCTACTGCCCCAAGATGCTAAAACAGGTTTTAATCTGTGTAGTTATATTTAAAGGTAGGTTCACTGTTTATATCTAGCAATAGGGTTTATTGTTCTTTTTGTATTTTTATCTTTTCCAAGGCATTAGTTATTCCACCCAATTTTGTATCATCTGCAAATTTGGTAAGCTTTACCTGCACCTCCACATCCAAATCATTAATAAAAATTTTGACCGAGTCCAGGACTGAGCCTCGTGATACCCCACTTGTTACCTCCTCCCAGTTTGAGAAGTAGCATTGATAACCACTCTCTGAGTATGATTCTGTAACCAACTGTATATCCACCAAACAGTTGTTCTATCCTCGTCAGCTCACTAATCAGAATATCATGGGGCACTTTGTCAAAGGTTTTACTGAAGTCAAGATATATTACGTCTACAGCCTTCCTGCCATATACCAGGGAGCTTACCCAATCAAAAAAATGAAGCAAGATTAGCCTGGTAGTGGCTCCCTTCACCCAAAAACTTTATCCACACAAAGAGGAGCTTCAGGCAATCTTTAAGAACCAGCCAACCAAATCATTAATGCTTCCAAATGGATGCCATAGAAGCCACCACATATATAGCGACTGTATCACCCATATTCCTTATACTTATATTCTCTTCTCAAAGTAACAACATGCTGTCTCAAATTCTCAACTTCCACTCAAAGTGAGTGCTCTCATAGGAACAAGGATGGAAATCAGGAGAAACATCTGGCCCCCGACCACATATTTCCTTCCGTCTGGGTTGTGAAGGCTAACTTATTTAATTACTGACTGCTGCTAGCCAGCAGTCAAAGCCCCAGAAGAAAGGAAATAATTATTATAATTACATTACATTACATTACATTACATTACATTTATTTATTTATTTATTTATATGTCACCCACTCTACCCAGAGGTCTCTGGGCAGCTTACAATAATTAAAATTCAATTCAATAAAATGATTAAAATACAATTAAAATACAATTAAAATTGCCGTCATCAGGACCCACAGTTGTTATTTCAATTAAAAGCCTTCTGGAACAGGAAGGTTTTGACCTGGCGCCGAAATGTCATCAACGTCGGCGCCAGACGAATTTCAGTTGGGAGGGCGTTCCATAATCTGGGGGCAGCTGCCGAGAAGGCCCTTTGTCAACAAGCCATCCCTCTTACCTCATTGAGGGATGGCTCTTTCAAAAGGACCCCCTGGCTAGATCTTAACTGCCGGGTAGGCTCATATGGAAGGAGGCGGTCCTTCAAGTATCCAGGGCCCAAGCCGTTTAGTACATTTAGTACTAAGCCAATTCTCTTCCCATTATTTACCTTCAGAAACTGTGTAAGAGCTTTTGATTTATCTCTTCTTGTCTCTTCACTCATAAACCAGTAAGTGAGACCCAAGCAGAAATGGAAGTCAGCTACTTCAGCTTCTTTTGCAATAGCTTCATGGAAACTAAGGGGGAAATATATATATATTTAATTTTTTTCCCCAATACATGGATCCTAAATACAAAGCTTGCGAAAATTATGTTTGAAGGTTACGATTCCTAAGAGTCTCCCTGCTACTAAATGACTTGTTCTTCTCATCTTTGCAAAAATTAGACATCGTTTAAGTTCATGCAAGTCAAATATGCAAAAAATAAAGTTCTGCAGGTGAAATAAAAATGGTACACAAAACATATTTATTGGCTGAAGGATAGTGGGAGGTGTTTTTAAAAAGGTCCCTTTTCAGGCTGTATGCAAAAGAATAAGTAATTTACCTTCTTTCTGCATGTTGATAGTTTTTTTGCTTATACTGAATTAAACCTTCAAGATAGTGGGCTTCTGCCAGGTTGGGATGCATCGCCTTAAGCTCCTGTGCAATCTAAAATAAAATGGTAAGTTCAGAAAAGAAAAATTCTGTCTTTTTTACAAAAGCCTCTATTATATGTATAAAATGCATACCAACCTTTGAAGCTTCATCAATAAGTCCTTTATTCAGATAGGCTTGTCCTTTAAGAGCTATAAGTTTTGGATCACTGTTCTTATCTAAAATCTGGAAATCAAATACATATTTGACATTTCAACACATAGTAAATGCTTATTATCACACCAAACCTCCTGTGGAATGCCACAATGCTTGTACTTGTTAACACAAGGTTTGATTTCCAATACCCTCTGAGTAGAAGAGAATATCAAGCAATAACATTCTCCCTACATTAACTTTCACAGAAGTTTACATAACAAATGTGACCTATAAACTGTCTTCTACCCCAATGTATGCTTCAACTCTAATAAATGTGCAACAGGGTCAAAAAGAAAAAAACAGGTGTGCATTTACAGTGGACCCTTGACTTGTGGAATTAATCCGTATTGGAACTGTGGCCGCAGGTTGAAAATTCTGTAGGTCGAGGGTTCATTTTGCATAGGAATGCACTGAAAACCATTTAATTCGTTCCAGCCAAAGAAAAAAAATCCGGGGCTTCCAAAGCGCCACCCGCTGCCCTCTGCCTTTTGTCCCCTGCCTCCCATCCCCATTGGGAGAGGAGGCAAGAGGCCGTGGCTCCAGCTTTCTAAGCACCGAAAGCTGACAGCAGGCGCAGAGCGGCTTTTGGCTTGCAACTTTGGAAGCCGGAAAGCCGAAAGCCGCAGCCTATGGACTGGAAGGGGGAGGTGGGGAAAGGGCCGAATTTGAATTTGGCACTTTCCCCGCCTCCCCCTTCTGGTCCGTAGGTTGATTCTCTGGCCGCAAGTCGAAGTGAAACTTTGCGGCCGGAGAAGTCTGTATGTCGAAAAGTTCGTAAGTGGAGCCGCACGTAAGTCGAGACTCCACTGTAAAAAGAAGATGGTGAAGAAGGCACGTGGCTATGTCATGAATTTGTGTGTTGCTTGCCATATCTTAAAAAAATTTCAAATTGATGAAATGCTATCTCGAAGCAATGTGTATGTTTATGAACATCTGTAGGTAACGTAGGAGTTAAAGGAAGGGAGGGGCTATTGGAAAATGATACAAGACATGACTGCATATGCTATTAGTACGCACAAAAAGTGAAGCTTTCTGATCCTGACCTATGAAGGTGAAACCCATTCTTTTCTGCAATGGTTGGAAGCCAAAAGATTCCATTGGGAATCCAAAGAGACAGCCAACTAGACAGCTGGAGCTGGGAGCTATTATTTCAAATTGATTTGTGCCTGGTAGACACTGTGAATAATGGGAGGCTTCCCAGTCTAGGCTTTCTCACCAGGAATTCTAGGCTTGATCACCAAGAAAGGTGCCTAGGTGAATAATGTGAAACTGGAAAGTAGAAGACAGACACCTGACATCTCTGCTCTCATCCACCTATGGCAGAGGCAGCTCTGTCCATGGGAAGGCATATCTGTTACACAAATAAAACCGAAGGCACTGGACAACCCAAGCTCCTCCTTCTGTAAAAGTTACCGCCTAAAGTTGCTAATGTTAAACAGATTTCATTTACCAGAGCTGTTTTAAAACTAATCACATACCTGATCAAGGCATCTTAGAGCTTCATCTGCAGAATCAGCACCGGGTATTTTAATCAAGGCTGCTGCTTTTAGATGACAGGCATTGTCTTTTTGTTGTTGATTGGAACCAGGTTCATTGGGTTGTGCTAACATCTTTAAGGCTATCAACAAAGAAGGAATTAATGTTCTGTTTGTCTTCAATTCACTGTCACATTTAACAACATAACAAGTAAACTGAGGTTCACAATATAACACTGCTAGTTTAATAAGACGCCTTCAGACATAGGACTTTAAAATAATTCAGGGCCTTGGGAAACAATGGCTGAAATCATGATCTGTAACTTACGCTACAAAAGGATGATGACATCAGCTGCAGCAGTTTTTGGAAATAATAATAAAAAAAATTATTTCTCCCAATGTCCTAGGCTCCCATGGATGATTTTATTTGAGGCAATGATTTTCGAAAATTAAAGACTTCCCTCAATCCCGTAGTCCCCCACAGCTTCCCCATGAAGGGATCCCATTAGAGTTTCAGGACCCCCCACTCTGTGTACTATTGAAAAACTATGGCACCTGATGACACCATCAGTCTTACATAGCATCGCTATCATGATTTTAGCCAATGTTTTAATGTACTATCTTCATGGTGGAGTGGTTAAACTGCTGTACTACATCCAAAGTTCTGCTCACAACTCAGATTCAAACCCATTTGCCTGGCTCAAGATTTAATCAGCCTGCCATCCTTCCAAGGATGGTAAATTAAGTACCCAGCTTGCTGCAGAAGCAGGGGGCAATGTGTAGCCTGCACAATTAAACTGTAAACCATCTAGAGAATGTTTTAAGGGCTATGAGGTACTACATAAGCAGCACACTTTGCTTTTGCTTTGTCTTTATAATACAAGGAAATGTCTTTCTGTACATAAAACCAAACAAAAGCAATTCACATTTACTTGCTCATAACTTATAACAGGCTCCCATTAACATGCTCCCTTCTAGACTTTCAGAAGTCTGCTAAATAATATTCACCAGACATTATATAAATAAAACCTTGAGATCTAACAACTGCCTATAACATTGGCCTTTTCAGACATTTTTTCAAGTTTGTGGAGACATTTCTCACAAGTCCATGAGATCAAAGAGCCTAGGCTTTTTGTAAGGCCCTTGAAATCCTTTTTATTATATTAGCTTTTAATTGCTAAATGTGGTTTTGCTTGCCAGAGTTTTCAGAATTCTTCCATATGTATATGGTTATTTCATTGTTCAATTCACTGTATTATTATTATTATTATTATTATTATTATTATTATTATTATTATTATTATTATTATTATTATTATTATTATTATTATTATTATTAATCAATTCCACTGCTGCTTCCTCCCTTAGCTACATTTTATTCGAAAGCAGATTGAACTTTTTCTAAGTTACAGTTTGCACAGTTCTACAATTACCTTGATTGCAAGACTGAACAGCTTCTCTGTACTTATGTATTTCCACTTGCACTTTTCCCAAGTAACACCAAGCTGTTGGACACTGGCTGGTCTGCTGCAAACCTAACATGAAGATTGATTTAACACATCTTAAAACACATACAGAAAAGTAAACGTGCTGCTATTTGAACGTTAAAAAGTTTTGGGGGGGTTGCTTTTTTTTTCAAGCTATGTGCATAGAATGACTTCACCAAAATAACCTATTCAATTCTTATGTAGGACCAACTTTAATTTTTTTTCTGTTCATAACACTGGGTGTACAACCTAATCCAATAACAAAAACACAGGGCAACTGAGCAGTAGATGATTTCATTTTTATCACCAATAGATTTAAATTTGACCAACAGCAAACATTAAAATGTCTTATTCATCAGAAACTGTCTGTTCATAATTTATAGTGATTTTAATAATGTAAATGCTCTAAGGTAAAGTCTTTAGGGTTGTATATGAAGCTTCAAAACTGAGGGCTTATAAAATGCATTGGTACCGAAAGTGGAAGAGAGAGAAGTGACGTGGTTATGCCAAAACTTGATGAAGTGTGTTCAAAAAGGAGCATGATGGTTAAAGGACAGGGATGGACAAAGTATGGCCCCAATGTTATTTCTGTGAGCACCCAAAGTGACCCAGAACCCACATGCCTTGAAAGAGGAAAGAAAGGAGAAAACTTTTATGTCTCAGCAATCTTGAAGATCTTCATGAATTGCTTTTCTTCTTCAAGAGCATGGAGAAGGGTTCCCAAGCCTCCCTCTTGCCAAGTTTAAACTGGAATTGTCTGCCTTGCAACTTCTAGTTTATTTTTTCCAGTCCCCTGCTCCCCACCCACCACCCCTGATTTTCTTTTTGCCATATCAACTGCTACTTTGGGGCCTGATGCGACCAATGATGAGTCGTGGAGGCAAACATTTAGCCCTTGGGACTGCTGAGGTTGCCCACTCTTGATACAGGTCCACCTGAAAAACAGTGAGACTGCATACCACCCCATTTCAAACACTGGAATGTATCTTCAGTTGTTCTCTTCCCCTATTGCTTACCTTCTGTGAGGTTTTTTTCAGCTTCGTTGTATTTTTTTTCCTGAAGGAACTGAATCCCTAAAACAATAAGAGCTGGACCACTTCTTGGGTCAATATCCAGAAGCTTCTGAGAACAACTGAGGGCCTCTTCAGCCATACTGCCTAAGTATACACAGAGGAATTTTATTTGGCATCATTTTAGAAAAAATATCACAAAAACATGTATCACAAGCAATTTTGTCACATTTTCCCCCCTGGGTTTCATTTTGAAAGTCATCCTGGCTGAAATCCTGTTGCTTACTGTAGTCCCACCAGAGTATACCCACAGAATGTGGAGATTTGGTGAGCCAACTCCCCCATTAATTCCATTATTCAGTTGGACCTACTCTAATTATGAAAGTAACAATTAAGGGAGCCCATTTTAATCAACAGAACTTGCAGAGCAGCTGATTCACCAAACCCCGACAATTCAATGAGCTTAATCTAATGCAATTTACTATGCTAAGAAACAGGATTTCAGTCTCTAGTTTTGCCTTGCTCATCATTTTAAGAAATGCAGCCAATGCAGCATTCAAGAAAAAGAGGGTGGGAAAATTCAAAACTAATAGCAATATTAACTTTAAAAGCTATGTACATTACCTGACTGAACGAAGTGTAAGCAAAGAACTTCCAGAGGATAACTCACAGCAGGATACAAAATGATCATATTCTCACAGGCCTTCCTCAATCCTGAATACTCATGAGGAAACTTATTTTGAAGGGAGAAAAAAAATTAAGAATGCAGATTGTTGTTAACATTAAAGAAGGCTACTTTTCATTATACAATACAGTTAAAGGCAATCCTTACTTTTGATAGACATTGAATGAATTCTCTGAAAAGCTTCTGGTGATCTTCACTTGGAACTGGGTCTGAGGAATTCAGTGCCTCCTCGTACGCCTTAAGGAGCTAAAAGGGGGATATGAATACCACACAGTGACGCAAGAGAATCCATGCTTTTAACAAAGGTCAGAATGGTCTTTGGAGAGGAACAGTCAATTCTGCTATATTATTAGCAAAACTATATTATTAGAATTACAGCCAAGTTGTAGCCATGTGATTCTTTCTGTAGTTTTTTTCCCCAAAAGGAGAAGTACTTCCTGTGGTTGGATGCTTGACAATAGAAACAAAGAGAAGGAGCTGATAAACTATTTCTCTGCCAGACATTTGCCTGTTCAAAACAGATCACCATCACTCGGTCAAAAAAGTAGTTTTCCGACCCACAGTGGCCTTATTTCTCATCTGTAAGATGGAGGCTTAGAACTATCCTTCAAGGTTGCTTGGAAAACAAGGTAAAATGATTGTGTCATAGTTTGTGTAAATGTCAAAGGTTTTAAATTGGGTATGTGAACTGAAGGGAGCAGTCCCTTACCAGCTGCTGTGTTTCATTATCCTGGAGAGGAGACCATTCTTCCAGTAGCTGGATCAATCTCTTCCATAGCTGATGAAGTTCAGCACTGTCTGCGCCTTCTTCTCGTCTCACTTTTATCAGCTTGTGCCACATTCGAGCCGCCTGTCAAAGAAGCCAGTCAAGCTTCAGTGGCTTCCCAAATCAGAGGGACATTTTGATCTTTGACTGCCAGTGAATTGGAAGACATTTTCCAATTGCAGCAATCAAGGTGACTATCTTTTGGCTTAACTGAGATGTCAGAAAAAGTAAGGAATCAGTATTCTTTGTTGACTCTGCAGTATTATTTACTGCTGTCCATTGAGCCATACACTTATACAAACTGTTTTACTGTAGAAAGTGGATGGCATCTCCCACAACTTTTCAATACATTATTATTGGTTGTGTCCTTCAGTCAATCAGTTTCTGTGTCACAGCCATACAGTGATAATGTCTGCCCACTGTATTCTATTCTTTTCTCTGTTGTTCATGTTTTTTAATACCTGATTTGTAGCAATTAATTTTTTAAAACTCCTTTTCAGAAGTTAGCAACTTAAAACCAGACTGTCATTTAACACCTTTGGCTGTAACACACCTACAGAACACTGAGGTGGACAGCTAAAAGAGGCTTTACCAATCTAAACAAAGTCATTTCCACTAAAAATAATAGACAGCAGAGAACATTTTGAGATGGCAAAACAGGACAAGTTTGCCAACATAAGGTTACAAAAAAATGTATGTATAAAAACGTGCTTTTGTTAAAGAATCCAATTGCAACATAAAACATAAAGGCCAAAATCTTATTGTGAAATACTGCACACATAACTACATGGTTTACACAGTTTTACGGCTGCCATTTACTCACCCAATTACACAATTGGCTGTGCAACTCATTACACAACTAGAGGACTATAGCATGTACAACAGAACAAAGTAAACTGATGTTTGTTGCTTGCACAGTTGCTGTTATATGAATGTGCAACACATCAGGATTTTGGCCATTAAAGACATATATCAACACAGTAGTGATGAGAAGCAACCTGAAAGTATTTCTTTTCTTGCTGATCCACCTCCACAAGCTTTCTGCATACATCACACCATTTCTGTTTATCAGTGCTAGAAAGAAGGCAAAATAATGTCTATTAATACATTTAAAAAACCAAGGCTTCGACTACCATGCAATATCAATTTCAATTACCATTCTCATACCAAACAAAATGAGATTTCTTCAAAGATCTGTTCTTATGCACTTGCCCTCTACCTTATCTTTAAACTATGAAGACTGAACCCTGCTTTCTGCATTCCTCTACTGTCCCCACTTGAGATACTGACCACTTTCAACTCCTTGATCTTACCACCCCAAATAGTTCCTTGCTCAGCTTTCCTTCTTTAGTTTCCCGATTCTTCACACTTAATTCCAGGGCTACTTCCTTCATCCCATCATCTTTTGGCTTTCCCATCTGCTGTCTTCCCTTCTGTCTGATCTAGTGACAGCTCAGTGTTTCTAATCAATTTGGAGATGGAGAAGGGCTTGATCCACTGACTGCCCTAGGTCTACCTGCTTACCATTAATATATATGTATGTGTTTTACTAATTACTCTCTCCAATGAAGTCACGAGCGTGTACACGGACCTCCTTCATTCTCACAGCAATCCTGTGAAATATATAAGGCTGAGAGAAATGAGTTCACCTAATACTGCCTTAGTGAAAACTACAATCTGGTTCTCCCAAATCAACTCCAACACCCTCAAGTTGTTTTCCTCATTCATTTCCAGAAAAAGGGAAGAGAGCTGCATCCTGCTGAGAGGAACCTACAGTTACTTCCCTTCCACTCTTGGATTTCTGATGGTACTCTTTACACAGGTCAAACAGTTCAGGAAAAAAAGTGAGATTGATGCATACATACAAAATGCTTTACAGATAAAGTGATGATTACACAAGTGCAATTTCACACAATAGATTTTACTGTTTGGTATAAATAAATGAATTCTTGAAAGTGTAGTCAGCATGGTAGATAAGCAAGTTGCAAAGATTTATTTTTATAGGTAACGAACAGTTTTATAGTTTTGCAGAAATATAATTATTAACACTACAAAAACAATGCAGACAATGTTTTGGTAACAAATCTATTTTGGTCAGTAGCATGAAAAACACCTTTAACCAACTCTTATTCCATTGCTTCAAAATAATATAAAATCTTCGATGAGATTTCCTACCTTTCATAGAGTTCCAGGAGTTTCTCGTAAACATTAACCAAATCCTCTCTGGCACCAGCATGGTTTGTTTTTTCATACAAATTTGCTAAACCCTAGAAGAAAGTGAAGCAAGGTACTTTTGAAGCAACATTTTGTGTCAAAATTGTGGCCTCCAGGTTCACTCCACAGCATACCCAATCAACACTCACATGCTTGCTCTCGCAATGCCCACCTCACCGTAAGTGTGATTAGCACTTGGGAAAGAACTCCCAGATCACTGTAGTCATGGAGAGGAGAGACTTTAACGTTGCTCACCAATGTAGAGCAAAATCAATGCGAGCAAAATTGCTCTCCCCCCCCCGGACAATTAAAATCAGCAGGAAACAGCAATGTCTCCTCAGGACTGCTGGAGGGGGAGGGGTAAAGTCTCATTCTACAGCAGTCTTGACCCCCAGCATCCAGAGATTACATGGATGTTAAATACAACTAATATTATTCCAATTTAGTAACAATCCAGTGAACCCACCAAATCTCACCCTAATATTCAGCTTACTGAATTTTCTTCTAGTTCTGAATGCTTCACTGTTCTCCATTGCTTTCCTTTGTCTTGGTTTCTCTAAAGTTCCCACAACTCCTAGAACACCTTAACTCCTTTTAGGAGATCAGTGTCTATTCCAACTGAGAGCAAGGAGAAACATTTCCAACTCAGCAGCCAGAGCTCAGAAAATGTTACTTTTGAGGATTATATTCCCAGAATCTACCCAGTGTCGCCCAAAATGTCATTTTTCCAAATGCTGCTAGTAGCTGCACTGTTCAAAACAGCAAAATGAAGAGGTGTACTAATAGGTTATTAGCAAGACAGAGAGAAAAGAAAGTTATATGCCATCAGAATAGAGTAGGAAGCCCCAGCAATGACCTATTGTGACTGTTGTTTATTCCTTTCCTTCTTGCAAGCATAAAGAACCTCATTTCTTCCAACACAGACAATAAGATTGACAGCATACCTACCTGCCATGCCAGCAACTGCCCTGGTTCAAGTTCAGCAGCCTTTCGATAGGCACCTTGGGCCTGCTCAGGTTGTTCCAGCTCAGCAGCTGCCAGACCAATAAATACCCAGGCATTGTAGTTATTTTTTTCTTGTTTCAACACTGCCTACAAAGATACACACAAAAAGCACTTTGCAATACACTTGTAAATTTAATATATCATTTCATAGCTAAGAAAATGCAAGTTATAACTTGATGAAATGCTTCATTCTGATTTTTCTGCTGTCTTGTCACAAAGATTCGGGAAAACATCTAACAACTAAGGAAGAGCATACCTCGGTGGCAGAGCACATGCTTTGCAGGCTCAACTCCCACATTCAACCCGCAACAGTTCTAGCTTAAAGGATATCAAATAGGAGGACTGGAGCAGAAGAAAGACCCCAAGCATAGGTAGGCTACACAAGCACACTGACATCTGACCCCATGCCATCTTTGCCAGGCCACATCATCACAAATAGAAGCATGCTCTCAAAATGTGGTGCTGGCAAAAGCATAGAAATTTACCTCCTTCCTTCTCAGAAGAAAAGAACACTCTACTGTATCCATTCTGAAACTGCTGCTTAGTGTAAGTAAAGATGCCAAGAAATTCAGTGGCTGCCAGTTTTTGAGCATAGTAGCAACCACCATGACACAGGGTGGCAGTGGTATTATGGATCTCCCCACTCACAGAAAGAAGATGTCCACACCATCTCACTTCCACTCAGAGAACACTGACTTAGTACAAGGCAACCATATATGTATGTATGATGAAAGAAATGCCAAGTCAAGAGTCTCATGGCACAGTGGTTAAGCTGAAGACTTGAGTTTAATCCCAACAAGCTCAGGTAGCAGGCTCAAGGTTGACTCAGCCTTCCGTCCTTCCATGGTCAGTACACTGAGTACCTAGCTCACTGGGATGGGGTGGGGTGCCAATTTGTAGCCTGCATAATTGAATTGTAAACCACCCAGAGAGTGCTTTAAGCACATTGGGGTGATATATAAGCAACATACTTTGTTTCTCTTTTTATCTAATGGGAAAGAAAAGAAGATCTGACTACTGTTGCCCAGCACCACTTTGGCCTTTAACTTACCACAAGATTAAGGAGTACGAGCTAGATAGAAAGATAACACCATGCAATTCTGAGGTACAGTGAAACCAATCCCTTAAAGAGCATCAAACAGGATTACTGTGAATAGATCATAACATTTCATGTGAAGAAAGCTTAGCTGTATATTTCAGTGGTATTTACCTTGCAGTGTTTCAGTGCTTCTTTGTATTCTTTATTTCTTATTGCATCTCTGGCACCTTTCAATGCAGCTTTCACTTCCTTGTTTGACATAATTACTGCAGATGTTAAGAGAAGAACATTATTGCCATATACTAAGAACTGTGGAGTATTTTCGAATCATTCTTACAACTCACACTGAACTCTCTTTTCTGGAACCCAATTGGTTTTTTTTAAAAAGCCTGACAGATACATTGATAATGTTTGCATATAGCTAGCAGTCAGAATCTTCAGAATCCTGGCTTACCGTAAATGAGGTGCAGTGTTTTCCCAAAACTAATACAGGGTCTTATATTCATTTTTGCTCCAAAAAACGATTAGGGTTTATTTTCAGGGGATGTTTTATTTTTTCATGTACAACAATCTACATTTATTCACATAAAGTCATGTCATCTTCTGCTTTTTGCTGCACAATGGTGGAGGGCGGGGTTTCACTTAACTAGGGCTTATTTTGGGGGTAGGGCTCATATTACGAGCATCCTGAAAAATCATAGTAGGGCTTATTTTCAGGTTAGGTCTTATTTTTGGGCAAACAGGGTATGTGTAGTGCACTATCTTGTGCACTATCCTATTTTGTTTCATGCTTAGCCTCTTCCACTTACAGGAACAGCTGAACTAACTAGGAACTGACATGGTGCCATGTTGTTCAAACTAGGGCTCTTGACTCACCGTGACCCTTCAAAATTAGAACTGTAAATACAAGCAGAGGAAAACTTCTTAAAAATCATCCTCGTCTGCATGTACACAGTGCTGACTCTAACCTCTCAGGATCAACAGAAGGCTTCTGCTGTTGTTATATGCCATCAGCAACAATATTCTGTATCATTAACAGCCCTGCTTGGCTCTTGCAAACCCAAGGACATGGCTTCCTTTATTACCATCTCAGTAGCTCAGTCCTATTTCAACTGTAGCAACAGGACAGGAATTTCCACTGCACCTAAGAAGAGCAGACTAGCTGAAAAGTGCATGTGACACAAGTAGCCATGCCTATTCACTACGTCCTTGCCCACTGCAGTTCATACACCATGCAAACTAAGAAAGCAATGGCTGCTATAAAGTGTGGCCTGAGTTAGGTAGTTCTCTGCCTGATTGCCCAAGCCAGGGCTTTGCGTAGTGATGCCATCCATGAGATACTAGAACAACTAAGTAGATGAGAGATGAAACAGCCAAGCAACTCAAGAGCAACAAGCATAGGGAAGGAGCACCGACTGCCTTATTGTTTTATAGCAGAGTTGGCTCTACGACTCAATAGTACTTCTATCATTACCTGTGTGCATGCACAAAAGCTCAAGAAGGCTTTTTAAAAAATGTAGATTCTGGGAAGCTTTTTAGAATATTCAAAGTACTCCACATGTAATACCTTGTGGCCGTCCTTAAAACCAGTTGGTCAAGTGAGCCTTATAACCTCCCTGTTGCAGATGGGACTGGGGAATGAGTGGCTTGAATAAACCCCCTTAGTAAGGTCACTGTGGCAGAGTTAGTATTTTAATTGATGCCGCCTATATTCCAATTGAAAAGGGATGTGGTGGCGCTGCGGGTTAAACCGCTGAAGCCTCTGTGTTGCAAGGTCAGAAGACCTGCAGTCGTAAGATTGAATGAGGCCCTATCGCTTGTCCCAGCTCCCGCCAACCTAACGGTTCGAAAGCATGCAAAATGCGGGTCGATAAATAGGTACCACCTTGGTGGGAAGGTAAACAGTGTTCCATGTCTAGTCACGCTGGCGACATGACCATGGAGGATTGTCTGCGGACAAATGCTAGCTCTATGGGTTGGAAACGGAGATGAGCACCGCCGCTTAGAGTCAGACATGACTGGACAAATTGTCAAGGGAAACCTTTACTTTATCTTTATATTCTAATTGATGCCAGTAGCTCCCAACCTCAGATGATCCAGGTGTTCTCAGACTGCAGCTCCCATGAAACCCATCCAGCACAGCTGGTGGTGAAGGCTTCTGGGAATTGCAGTCTAAGAACATATCAATTACCCAAGGTTGAGGACCACTGCACTATGCTGTTATTGTGGCTAATATTGTCATCTCCAAGATTACACAATTGTCATCGGCATTTACCTTTCCTTTACCTTTAGAAACCAAGGTGCCACACAGATTTACAATATCCAGACCAAACGCTGACAACAGCTGAACCCTTCAGACATCTGGAAAAGACCCAACTCATCACCTAAGTCTTTATAAACCAATTGTACTGCCTCGGGTTTTACACTACTGTTGGCACTGATTATTTGATTATTATTCAATGATTTGCACTTGTATGGGTTTTTAATGAGCTTCTAGGCAGTCCTTTACTGTACACCACACCAAGGCACTGTTACATCTGGACACCAGTTAAATACTGCTCTTGATGATGACTAAAGGCAAGTCTTGGTCAGCATGGAACGTACAATCTAAAATAGGCTATGGGGGGGAAACATGGAAAAGAAAACGGGATAAAGGGGTAGGGAACAAAGATTACGGCTAAACGCCCTTCCACGTCAACGAGGATTAGCCGAAAAACGGCAATGGCCAGGCAGAAAGTTGGGACACCGCAGGAGATCGTAGTTATCAGTGGGGCTTCATTCCACTGAAGCACCAGGCGAGCAGGATCCTTAAATAAATCGAGGCAGGATCAACCACCCGCAAACTCCGGAGCCACCCTAACTCCGTCCTTCCCCTCCAGTTCTCGGAATGAAATGGAAAACCGGAGTCCAGTTTAAGCACGACACTCGCTGCGCTCCTAGACAGACAGACAGACAGACAGACAGGCACAACGGCAAAAGTCTCATCCTCCAAGCCTTTCCAGGCAGGCCTTCGCCCCCCACCCCACCCCAGGCCGCCACACAGTCACTCACCGGCCAGCTGTCACCACTCCCCGCCACAACTACCACCGACAGCCGCCCACAACCATTGCCCCAACCAGGAGAAACACGCGCAGGCGCGCGGGCGGTTTCGTTTTCGAAAACTCCTCCCCGCTGGCACAAGAGGCTACGCCATGCAGCTGTCCGTCGGGTTGCCCTTTGCCCCGGGGGCTGATGGGAAGCGTAGTTTATTTGAGCTTTCCCGCAGCGGTGTTGTTTCGAAACGACCCCACGCTTACCGGTGTGGATGCGCGATATTTTAAGGCCGAGATTGCAGCCGGACAGTACACTTACTCGGCGGACCTCCTCCTGAGTAAACACGCGTACGGCTGCCCCGTTCAGAGGCGGTTTCCTCACCTCCGCTGCTTATGGCCCTAACGCTGGACGAGAGTGACAGTGTGTGGAATTTCCCCCCCCTTTTATGGGGCGAGAAGGGATGATTCAGGTTGACAGCTGGAGTTCTATCTTAATTTATTTGCATGTGACAAGAACCTGAGGGGGAAAAACATATGATTATTTTTTTCGTTTTTCGTTGGGGGAGATGGGCAAACCAGTGACTCGATTTGGTTTTTTTGTTTTTTTTTGCAAGTCGCGGTGTGTACGTGTAGAGTCAAGTCGCTTCCGACTTGCAGCCATCGCAACGACGCCTTTGAGGTTACTGAGCCAGGATTTGAACCCAGGCCTGAGTGTGTCTGCCCGCTACCCCACAATGCTGCCGAAATTTCTCCATTAATGATCTCCTACGGGCAAGGACTTCTCTTTCCTCGCCTTCTGCCTCCATATATTATCCTCCCACGCTGCATCATGGGAATTGTAGTTCGCCACCTCACGTTTCTCTCCCTTCCTAACTCCCCCGCCGCCACCACCGTCATGAGGGAAACCGACATCCCTTCCCTTCCTCCTGATCCTTGGCGGCGGTAAACTTTTTTTTTTTTTTTGAAAAGGGGAAAGGCGGGAACCTTTCTCTGTCGTGTCCGCCCCTTCTGTTCCGAGAAGGACGATGGGAGCGGTAGTTCTGTTTGGTTGGCTCCAGTTCCCTGCGGACTTCTTCACGCCGCTTCCCGGGCTTGAGGTCCTGCACTTGGGCCGGCGGGCAGGGAAGCGAAGTCACCGGCCGACTATGAGCCACGCGGTGCTGCCTCCTCTTGTGTAGCCGAAGGACCCCTTGAAGAACTGACTTTAAGGAAGAAATGGGGAGAAATCTCGCCGCCGCCGCCGCTGGAAAGTGCCTAAAAGTCGTTGCTTGGGCTCTCCTGCTCCTCCCGGGTTTTGCTGCAGGGAGGGCGAGCCCTCCTTTGCTCTGCCCTCACGAGGGCTGTGGCAAGTCTAACGTTGTCATGGTGATGTGCGATTCGTTTGTAAGTATTTCTGTCTTTAAATCCACACCGCTCTGCAACTCGCTGTCAGTTCCTCTGGGACGATGTGGGGCAGCTCAGCTTTCAGCCGCCCTTCATTTCCCCATCGTGCAGAACCACCTGAGCCCTTCCCTTCTCTTTCTACGTGAATGTGCTTCTTGGATGCCAGAAAACCTGGTGTGGAGACAGACCTTTTTCTGAGGGTGGAAATAGTTGATCAGACCTTGATACCACTATGCCATCCAACCGTATGCATGTTTATTTTGAAGAAATTCCATTGAAATTCAATGGGATTTCACTGATAGTGGGATTCCCCCCCCCCAATAAACATGCATACAGTTCAATGGCACGTTTGCCCAGTTAGGGTGGCATGGGTGAGTATGGGTACATTTCACAAATAAACTTGTTAAGACTGTGAGCACTAGGGGTCCCACAAACACAGCTAAACATGTTGTATCTTAGATGTCTTGTATTTTAATGGTATCTCTGGGGTGGGTGTTTTTGTATAAGATGACAGTGTGAAGTAATTTGTTTGGTGTTTTTGCAAGAATGACAGAACAGGCAGTGGCTCTTGGAAATGTGATGGTTATTCCACAAATAACCTTGGCTGAAAAATAGGTCAGGTTGCTACTTGCAGGGCTGCATTCAAATGCTGATGCCTTCTGCTGAAATATATTAGTGGCCCATGTGTGTCTGCCCCTATATCTCAGAGTCTCTTCCTTGTTTGCATTATTCATTATAAACCCACAAGTCTGCAAAACCTTTCCTAAACAACCTGGAACAGTCTATGGAAACATTAAAAGTCATCAGTCTTCCCGTTTCCATATTTAAGATCAACATGTAACTGGTTATGATGCCTCATGGAAATGAGCCTCTGGAACTGGGATGATCTCAGTTCATTATAGTGCCATTCTTAGAACCATTTTAGAACTGTAGGGCTGGAAGGGACCCTATGGATCATGACTTATATTCTTTCTGAACAGTGGCAGGAATCACAGCGCTCTCCCATCCTGTCCCTACTCTGTGTAGAGGACAAAAGCAGAGCTTGGAAAAAAATATTTTTGGATTATTGTTCTCTTAATCCCATAATAATATGTCCGGGCCATGCTGGTTCGAGAAGTGATGGTGCTGTAGTTCAGACAGTAACTGTTCCAAACTCTGGACAAAAGGCAGGGAATAATCTAGTTTTCTTATATGTGAAGCTAAGGTTCATGTCCTCCCTTGCCTCTCTCAGTCAAGCCATTCCTCTCAGCTTGTGATTCTTTATACGTTTTTAAGGGCATTCTGAACTTAATACAGTTTGGTAGTAAGACATCATTTATATTGCAACTACAGGGTTTAGTTCTGAAAAGACTTATGTAGCAAAGCATTGCAGTAAATATAAAAAATGTAGTGGGGTCTATTACCAGAAAGAAATGTCCCAGCTATAGAGAAAGTCCAGTTTTCCAGAAAATACATTTCCCTCAAAAATACATGGTATCTTATTTGTTTGTTTGTTTGTTCACTTTGTATCCCACTCCCATTAGTGTCACAGCACTACTCTGGGTGTGTTACAACTCATAAAATAGAAAACAAAAATAGAAATATTAAAACCAATAGCACTATCTTGCATCCAGAATGTCTGAAATTGGTATTTAGGCAACAGATTTATGATCTAATTTGTAATATTGCATAGACTATTCTCTCAAGTTATCCCCAAAGTAACCTTTCCCCCCTGCATGCAGGATGGAAGGCTGACATTTAATCCAGAAAATGAAACAGTGGCCTTGCCTTTTATAAGTCTCATGAAGAGACATGGCAGTCTTTTTCTAAATGCCTATACAAATTCTCCAATATGTTGTCCTTCTCGAGCAGGTAAGATCATACTGCAATGATAAGTAGAGTCTATTTGAATTCTAACTGATGATAGTTAACCCTCAAAAGACTTTATTTGGAAAACCCTACATTTTTTTTCTTTAATGTCTTCATGGAACTATTTGGCCTAGGATAGAAATAGCATTGTTACATATGTTTCAAGTAGGTGTAACTTAAATGAAAGTTGACATTTGGGGAACTTTAGGAGAATCTCATAGCTAGGTTCTACCCATGTAAAGAGTCAGATTTAGTAGTTCTGATCTTATTTGGAAGGGTTTGTGTGGCTCTGAGATGATTCTGAGGCCAGAAGAATAGTATTTTTCAGTTGGGAAATCATTACAAATTGCTTTGTGTGGCCCTTCCTGGAAAGCAAGGTAGAAATAAATAAAACAGAAGTGGTAACTATTATTGGTGAGGGAAGGGAGAGTTGACATTTTCCATGCTGTTGGGTCTACTCTGGTGTCCTGGAGGCATTATATTATACCAGGAAAAATACTCTGGCAAGAAGGTATCAGTGAACCCTTGAATATCTTTATGGATGTCATTCTTGTCTCATGGACTGCCTTCTAGATACAGTGGCTAGAATTTTGTTGATGTATGTGTAAGCAAAATTGATTAACTCACCATGGCAAATTGTCTGTCTTGAAGAAAACTGGGAAGCAGGAAGCAACTTTTCTCAGAGCCCAAGTATTTCTGAAATGCAAAACAAGCAAGGAGAGGTGTTCTGAAGGGTCTCTTGTTGAATGACACATATTTCCTCCAGATTTTTTGGCTTCCCTTCCCTTGGCTCCTGCTAACCTAGCAGTTCGAAAGCATGTAAATGCAAGTAGATAAATAGGTACCACCACGGTGGGAAGGTAACAGTGTTCCGTGTCTAGTCACGCTGGCCACGTGACCACGGAAACTGTCTATGGACAAACACTGGCTCTACAGCTTGGAATTGGGGATGTGCACTGCTCCTTAGAGTCAGATGCAACTGGACTATTTGTCAAGGGGAACCTTTACCTTTTTAACAAGGTACTGGTCAGATTACTAGGTACATGCCTGTTGAGCAGTTGTGTTTATCATGCATTGTAAGGTAACACCAGTTCACCACATTGGGTTTTAACATTTAACTTGCATATGTAGAAATCACCAACAGGATTCTGGAAATTACATATATTAAAGAGAAGAGTTATACAAACTAATTATTTTAGTATGATTTTATGATTAATGTGTTTCAATATGCTTTTTAAAGCCATGTGGAGTGGCCTTTTCACTCACCTAACAGAATCATGGAATAACTTCAAGGGCTTAGAGCCAAATTACACAACATGGATGGACCTGATGGAAAAGCAAGGCTATTACACTAAAAAATATGGAAAACTAGATTATACTTCAGGACATCATTCACTAAGGTGAGCAATGTGAAAATCATCTTTTCTTATCACTATTAGCTAAAATCATCTTTAAAACTATTTCTCGAGTACACTATTTCCATGGCCAAAATTCTTCTGAGTAAATTAAGCCTGCATAAAGATAATGACTTTACTATCAGGAGGGAATTGCCAATAATTAAAGGGTTCCTGCCAATCTCAGGGCTTATGTGATTCCCCTGCAACTTGCCACAATTAGTTTCATTGCAGGTGATTCAGGTGACCTCGGGATCAAAGCAGGAAATGTATACAGTAATTATTGGAAATCTGCCACTGCTGGACTTAACTCTCTGCCACTACTGGATTTAACACTGCACTGTTTTAAAAAAGAAATCTGAAAGCAAACTTGTTTGACAAATTGCCTAGACATCAGGTTTCCCAACACACAGGGATTTATTCTAACTTCCTTACAGGTAAATTGAATTTCTTTTAAATTATTTATTTCCTTGAAAACAAGTATGGTTTGGGGATAGTATGTTGGACTGGGACTCAGAAGACCTGGGTTCAAATCTCCAGTCAAATATGGAAATTCCCTGGGGGTGACAGTGGTAAGTGACTCCTTGACTGTGTCTTGCGTACCTAAAAACCAAATCAGGGTTGCCATAACTTGGAAACAATTTCATTACACATAACAACAATTTTCTAGCTGTTTCTAATACTTATTGTCAGAATGCTTTAATGGTGCTGGCATGAGGCTTTTATGCATTATTTACTATTGTTGGCTCACAGACTTCCTGGTCTTCATACTACTCAACCATATAGATAATAGACAGCTTCCGTATCAGATCATGAGTTAACAATTTAGTTAATAATTTAGTTAACAAAAACAAAACAAAGGCCAAAAATAAAAAACCTCTGGGTATCACTTGTTTCTTTAAGACCTTTCCAAGTTCTTGAGTGCCAGGATAGTCCTCAAATGCTTAACTGCAACAGTTAAGGAAATCAACTTTTAATATGCTCTAATTAACTCTCCCCCCATCACAATTACAGCATCCTAAAGTTCTCTAATGAAACTCCTGGTTACAGGTAAAGCATTATAAATAGAGATGGGGGTGTTCGTATATGAATACAAATATCCCCGCATATGTGGAAATAACGAGGGTGAGGCCGGACTGTCCACTCATGATTTTGCCACTGCCGCCGGCTTCATAGAGGCTTCCTATTGCACTGTTCTCCGCAATGGATTAGCCACTCTCCGACATAGCAGAGAGGCTTGTCATCCCACCTTCTGCCAGGACTGGGTAATCAATTGCGGACAATGGCACAAGAGGAAGGCCTAACGAGCTCGCATCACGCGGTGAAATCATGAGTGGACAGTCCGGCTCCACCTGTGTGGGGATACTCGTATTCCTATACAAATACCCCATCTCTAACTATACCTCTACATAGGTAATAAGACATCCGTATTCCTATACGAATACCCCATCTCTAACTATAAAGCATATATATGCTGATAGGCAGGGATTATGGGAATTGAAATCCAAAACATCTGAGAATTTCTCAGATGATTAATCTCTCTGGAATCCTCTTGATATAATCTGTTTGACTGGAATCCTTGTCACTTTTCTTAGCACTCATTGTCTGGGAAACTGTATAATCGCTTATAAAGCAATTAAACTTTTAGAAAGGATTTAGATTCTCAACAACAGTTCAAAACCTTATAAGAGCTACCATTATTTATAATGTTAGGAACATTCTAGCTTTTCCCTTCACAGTGTGTCTACTTGTAGGCTCTTAAACAGAAGTGTTTCCAAGAAGTGTGATTCATTTGTATTATTATAGGGAGAAAATGATAGAGTTTCCGTTGTTCTGTCCTCCATGTATCTTTGTCAAATTAATGAACTCAAGTTTAATATAAGCAACTGTCATTTTTTGTGCACATGGTGGAAGATTGTATCTTTCTATAACTTAAAAATATTGTTTGGGATTATTATTACAGTAAGAGCATGATTAATTTATTACTGCATTTTGCAGTACATTAATTACTTTATACATTTCATTGTGTAAAGTCATTAATGCTAACTATAAGGAAACTATAACTAAATGTAAGGAACTTTGAAGTCCAAAGAGACCAAAATCTAAATTAAAAAGAAACAATGAAATAATGTTTCATTTACTTTGTTATTTTACTTTTAAATTTAGACAAGTCATGATTTAATCTTACTTGTATACTCAATATAGATCTGATAATTTTTTTGATGGGAGAAGTTGGACTTAATGATCTATAGCAGGGGTCCCCAACTCCCAGGCTGCGGACTGGTATTGGTCTGTGACCTTGGAAGGACTGGGCCGCTGAGACATATTTTCGAAGGCCAAAAGAACATGCACTCCCACACACATACACGCCTGCCCCCTGCACGCACAGATACCCGCCTGCCTCCCGCATGCATGCACACACACACCGCTTGTATGCGCACATGCACAGATGCACGCATAATCCCCCATGCAGATGCCTGCCTGCCTCCTGCATGCACACATGCACCAGCACAAACACACAGACACCCACTTGCCCCTTCACAGATGCCCACCCTCCTCATGCATGTGCATAAGCCCCCCCATGCACACACAGATGCATGCACACCCCCATGCGTGCACACATGGATGCTTGCCTACCTTCCGCATGCACGCACACATCCCCACGCACACACACATGTACAGATGCACACCACACACACACAGGTCCTTGGGAGAATGGTCTTCAACTAAACAGGTCCCTGGTGTCAAAAAGGTTGGGGCCCACTGTTCTGTAGGGTCCCTTCCAGTTCTGCAGTTCTAAGATTATTCTAAGAATATAAGTATAAATATCCAGAGAAAAAATATCCAAAACACTGATGGATGAAAAGCAGTAGGTAAAGACTTCTGAATGTTGAACATTCTTATAGTCTGTCTGTGATTATATGTGCATCGAAATGGCATGCACTGCTCTTGTTTTTTCTCTCTTGTTTTCCTTTGTTTTAACTTTTAAATATTCTCATTTTCAGTAACCGTATGGAGGCTTGGACCAGAAATGTAGATTTTTTGCTACAGCAGGAAGGCAGGCCTGTGGCAGCACTCATAGGTAATAAGACATCTGTGAAAGTCATGCAAAAAGACTGGGAAACCACCAATGAAGCAGCAGCTTGGATAAGAAAGAAGGCAACAAACTTAACACAACCTTTTGTTCTTTACTTGGGATTAAATTTACCTCACCCGTATCCTTCACCTTCCTCAGGAGAAAATTATGGGTCATCTACATTTCTGACATCTCCATACTGGCTGCAAAAGGTATGTAGATATTGTTTGGAAAGAACTGCGTTTATTATGTAGCCTAACTTGCATCTCTCTGTAACTCAGGATGTTATCCAAACTGGGCAAAATTCTGCCCTGTTTGGTCACAGAGCATGATTCACATCCTACTCAGGATTCACATCCAGACTGTGCTCTTAGCCATGTTTTTGTCTAAAAATCCTTAGAAATCTGCTTTCCTGCAAGAGCTCTCCTTCTGGACCTATTGTTTTGATTTTTAAAAAATTAAGAAAATGCAGTAGTTGCTGAATATACAGAATAAAGTATCATAGGCATATGTGTGCTACTTTGATTGCAAGAGGCTTCTTTTTCTTTTTTAAAAAGTAGGGAAAATAGGCCAAGACACCACAGTTATCACATGCTCAGTTTTCAAAGTCCAGGTGGAAAGATAGGGCATTTGCAGCCCACAAAAGCAGCCTTGGGGGACTGCATGCAGCCCCCTCAGATCTTACTGTGCTTTCCTTGTTTTATGTGAAGTTATTTACGCTTCCTACTCAAAGGGGTGGGGTAGGGAAATGCAAGTATTTTCTTGTACAGAAACCCAGTACTGTACTATTTATGTGAGGGAGGTGTCAAATACTCTTTTTTATCTGTGCTCCATTTGAATTATTCCCAGATGCTGTTTTACTGCAGTCAAAACACTATCTTAGCTTGTTGCCATGGCTCCCACAGCTTAAATAGCTGCGAAGCTTTGCAATTCTACAGGCTTTAAAAAGGTAAAACAGCAGTTTCTTTAAAAAAAAAACTCTTCAGTGGACACAGCTCACATCTTCCTTAGTGTTAATCCAACTGACTGTAATACAGTATATGGGAATTTCAGCCATTTAAGTTTTTTTAAAAACATCTCCCTTTCTCCAGCTGTAATGCACGTTGGTGTTCTGTACTGCTCTAGTGAAATATTGATCAGCTTTAAAAATAAATGTCATGAACTCAGCTCCCCAAGAGCTCTCCTGCAGATGCTGGAGTACTTGTTTTTCTCAATTCGGTCTTTGGATATTTTGAAACTGGGAAGAATAAGGATGTGCCTCATATTTGTTGGCATGCCTGTGGAATTCTTAATGTGGGCAGTGGGGAGGAAGTCCTTTCTAGCCAGAAAGGAAAGTTGATTTCCAAAACAGGCAATATGAGTCCTGGAGGGAGGAGTACATTCAGAGTCCTCCTGTCCTGCAGGCTGAGTGGAAAATTCTAACCACATGGTGACAAGGGTGAAGCATTTAAACACACACACACACACACACACACACACACACAAACTGGTTGAAACCACCTCTGAGCTATACTTGGCAGACTTCTGCCATGAAAATGTGGAGACATTCATTATCATTTTTCTCTACTCTCTACAAGACGGTGGGCATGGCTGAAGAATTCATGAAAGCTTGTGCTGAACGTTTGCTTAAGATTGTGGCAGGCTTTCAAGGTTGGAACAGAGCATAACATTGAACTCAGCCCTCTGTTGATCTGGTGAATGCAGATCAACAGAGCCATGCATCAGTGTGATGCGCTCGTAGTAGACTGTGTTGCTAAGCAGATGGTCTGACTGGCTGCATATCAGCAGAAACCATCTTCCAAGATATGTGGCACTGTTCTGAAACACATAAGCTTTAATAGCAAGGAAGGATCAAGTTTCAGTTTTGTAGGAAGAGGCTGCATTTTTAGAGGCCCATTTAAATGGCTAGAGCTGCATGCTTATAGAGGGATTACTGTCCTCAGAAGAGGCTACTGGCTGCCAAAGTGGAGGTTGCTGCATTGAAAGGCTTTGATGATCCCCTACAACTCAACAGAACTTTCATACAAGCAACACTAGCTTGGTCCCAACTCTCAGAATAATTGGTGCTTTTAGGGAAAACAGTAACATGCAACAGGCAGAGCCTGAAGTAATTTCTTAAAGGGAATGTAACATTGTGGTACAATATGTGACTCTACCTTGACTGATGTTCCATTCTATCAACATTCAAAAACTCTTCTTTTTCACAAAGCTTTTGGTGCAACCCCCCCCCCCAATCCTCATGCCATTCTGTAATGAACGTTAAGGACAGGTAGGTAAACAGAACACTTATAACCTTTGCCTGCTTCCATTTCCTTCTTTTGTCTTATCCATGTCAAATTATAGATTGAAAGCCCTCCTGTGCCTGTTTTATATAGTGCCATGCATATTGATGGTGCTATAATAACAACGTTTTGAGGAAAATGTTTCACTAAACTAGTAGTTTTTTGGAAGGGGCCCTTAAGCTAGTCTTTGTCCCATTTTAGCACAGAGGTATTTTTAAAGCTTGCCAGATTTTTTCGTATTCATTCAGGATGTGTGCCTCAACAAGATACTTGAAAGCTGCTGACAAACTGTAGATATAAAATATAACATCACTTGCAATATAAAATAAAACAGTTCCACCTTTTTACTAGGTGACGTACAATGCCATCAAGATTCCAAAATGGTTTCCATTTTCAGAGATGCACCCAATAGATTATTATTCCTCTTATACCAAGAACTGTACTGGGCCATTTACGGAGAAAGAAATACGAGATATACGAGCACATTATTATGCCATGTGTGCTGAGACTGATGCCATGTTAGGTAGGTGATAATCATAATAACTCTTATTAAAATCAGTGTCCTAAATCTAATCATTATTCCCAGATTGAGTAGTCCTAATGAATCAATTGAATTTATATAAGTGATGATGTATCAAGTTCCCATTGTTTCAGTAGCTGCAGTTCCTGTTGCTCAGCATAGTAAGTTGCAACTAGAATTAACCCATTGAATTAGGGGAATTTATGGAGGAGTTGACTTCCCAGGTCCTACTGCAGTTACAACTTACTACTCTAAGCAACAGAATGTTTGTTTTATAGGCCACCTTTCTCCCGATAAGGGGAGATGGCAAATTTCAGGCAGTGAATCTATTCTAGCTTATTCCCTTAAATAGATTTAGATTGTAATCTGTTTCCTAATAATATTATAGTTAAAGTTATCATCCAGATTCTGGTTATGGCCGCAATCCTTAACCATACATTTTTTTAAGTTCTAGAATGGCGAATTGTAGAAAACTATTTTTCCAGAAAGTAGTTCAAAGATTTCATGCTAGGAATTTCTTTGAAATTTATTTATGAGACCATGTGCAGGTACTCTGTGTCCCCCCAGATGTTGTTCCATGGCACTTTATCTCAGCCCCAGCCAGCAAAGCTAATGGTCAAGGAATTGTAGTTTAACAACATGTAAAGTATTAGTGCTTCCCCGCCCCAGTTTAGATGCCTGTCTTTTATACAGGGGGCTAGTGCATAGGTATTCCCGGAACTATGGTAATGTCCTTTGCATGTTAGAGGACAGGACCAGATAGATCTTTGGCACATGCGCAGCCTACAAAATGAAACCAAGGAGTAATGTGATTTTACAGTCTATTTGGACTGTAAGCCTATTTTCATCTGTGCTGCACAGGTCATCATTCAAAAGTGGGCATTAGCCTTCACCATGCAAAGGACATGCTGTGGCCTTAAATATCTGAACTGGACCTGTGTGACATAAAATGCTGGAAAAGGACTTGTGAGTATTACAGTCCAACATGTTTGAAAACCTGTTTTGGGGGTACAAGTTAGCTGGTATTGATCATTTGACTTCAGGGTCTGGAATCTGAATGCCCATTGTGCCTCCTTAGAAAGGGGCCAGATGAGATCATCTGCAGCATAGGTGGCTGAGGGGGTTAGGTTCCCTGCCATCTGGGTAGTTTTTGTTGAGCCATATGGTCACAGAAAGGGGGACTGCTATACCTTATGCCGAAAAAGCTCTGGGAAAGTCACTGTAAGTTGAAAATGACTTCCTGGCAGATAATTAATCAATTAGTGCTCACAAAAAGTCAGGGGTTAGTCTATATGCAGCATTTTACATACGTTAGCAATGTCAGTGATATAGAAGGGACTACCATATTCTGTTATACATAGAAATTATTATCATGCTTCTGGGCTCATGTATATTCTTGAATGAGAAAGAGACTTTGGCCCCATTGATGGACATACAAGGCCTCCTAGGACTTCACTAGGTTTCAGATTACTGAAGTGTTGATAGAAAATTTCAAGGAAGTTGTAAAACTAAGCCCTTAAAAGTGGAGTGCTGTAAGTATTCTGTCACAGAATTACTATGCAAAATATAAAGTTTTAGACAGAGATTTCTGAAGGTACAGAAACCACAGTGTACTTGGTGATAGTAGCTGTGGAAGAAATGTGTCCAGAATTGTCAAGAAGAAAGTAACATGCTCCTTCTGATTTCCCATTATTAGGTTTTTTTCAGAAATGCCATTTGTATGAATGAGAACCTCACTGACTTGATCCAGTGCTTTCTCTGGTGTTGCCGTATTTCTTAGTGGGTTTTTAAAAAAACCCAACTGTTCTTATATATACAGGTGTTGAATGCACATTTTAATATTTTGAACTGAACCCGGTATCAATCTTTCCTTGTCTTTTGCTGCAGGAGAGATAATTTCTGCTCTTAATGAAACAGGACTACTCAAAAGCTCTTTAATCGTATTCACTGCAGATCATGGTGAACTTGCTATGGAACACAGGCAATTTTATAAAATGAGCATGTATGAAGCAAGTTCCCATGTTCCTCTTCTTATAATGGGACCAAACATTAAACTGCAAAACGTATCCAATGTGGTGTCCCTTGTGGATATCTATCCTACCATGCTTGGTAAGTGGTATGTTGATACAACCAAATAGTTTGTATTACCTGAAGATTTAAACATGATTTTAAATTATGCCATTTCCAACAGTCAGTTATGACTGATTGTTAAAAAGCATGATTGAGTGTTGCTTATGGCATTGCTGATGATACAGTGTCACCATTGGGTCTACACCGTGTTGTGATTTACTGCTCAGGCCACAAGCACAGTAGCTGTCTGGGTTTAAAGCTGACCGGTCAAGCCAACATTTGGTATAGCGCTATGTCAGCTTCATCCCCTGTGATTTAATATTGAGGGTATGCAGGGTGTATTTTGGGTTGCATGCATACTGATTGGCTTTCCATTTTACATGCACAAAGATACTTGCATAGATATGGCTGATCACTTTTATACTAGTAATAAAATCTCAGGTTCCTCATTACTAGTGTAAGAGTTTCAAGCCATTCTCAGTATGAATTGTTACCAACTTGGTTCCAGCTAGTAATCCCAACTGAAACAGACCATTTGAATCAGTGGGATTTATATTGTTAGTTTGTCATTCAACAATTAATTCAACTCAGATATTTAAGCCCAAATGTTTTAATAACATGGAAAATGACTGTTTTATCTGAGTTATAACAATGGACTCTCAAAATCCTTTCAAGTTTGTAACTTATGAATCACTTGGATTGGGAAATTCTGCATTCTAATAGGCCTATCCCATTTCCATCTTCAGGTCAGTAAACAATTTAGGTTGCTTTCCCTTTCAAGGTGGCAGACGTGCTTTATAGCAGTGGTTCCCAACTTTGGATAACCAAGGTATTCTTGGACTGCAATTCCCAGAATCCACAGGAAGTGCATCTAGTGGTGAAAGCTTCTGGGAGTTGCAGTCCAAAAAATACCTGGTTACCCAAGATTGAGAAACACTGCCTTGGAAGAAGCTACTTCCATTCAATAATTGTCTGTCTCAAGGAAAACAGAAGGGGTGTACGAAGCTTCTTCTGGGAGGAAGAGCGGGCCTTGGTGGGCCAGAGGGAAAGCCTTGTGGATTGAGTCCAGCTTGTATGAGGTATCTGGTTGCAATGTAATACATCTGCCCTGTGGTTGTATGGCACTGTTTGAAGGCACACAATACAAACTATCTGAAGCTAAGCAAATCCACATCTATTTACTCTCTGGGTAGGAAATGACAGGTGTAGCACTGAGTTTCATGTAAGTAAGGAAGCATATCTATAAATGAGAATAGAGACAATGCATCCTGGATCAGTCACACGGGTTATCCCAAACAATAGAGAATTAGATAGTGAACCTGATGTCTTTGCATGCTGCATAGTTAGTTGTGTTTAATATGATGATTTTACTTAAGATAAGTGAAAGAAATTCAAAATTAAAAGCCCCTTCTGGATAGGAAAACACTTTTGAAAAAACCTTGCAAAATGGCAGGAGTTCTATTCTATACTGCTGTATATTTCTTGCAAAATAGCCAGGATTTTCAAATCAAATCCTACATTCTAACTGGGGACCTTAGTTTAAAATTACTAATCAACTGAATCATGCAGCACATCTTTTAATCAGATCTCAGTTCCTCCTTTCTTGATGGTGACTTCTTTTTGTTCCAACTGCTTTTTTTTTAAAAAAATTCTCCTGAAGTTTGTATTTTTAAATCACTGTCCTTCCTGTTCTCATTCTCCATATGTTCTCCTGGTTTTTCCTTCCTCTAATCAGAATGTTAAAAATAAAAACCATAAATCAAGAAGGATTATTTCATGTAGGTGAGTAAATGGTTAATGCTATTGCCTTAGACATTCTGAGAAACAGACACTTACGACCTTGTCCGTAGTAAATAGCAGTATCTTCTCTGTCCTTTATCATTTTCTTTTATAAATTATTGATTTACATGTATTCACCATTCCTGTCTCAATATTATAGCACTGTAGTGCCTTAATATTACAGTACTGTAGTTATGCATTTAATCATAACACCCTTATGGAGCTTCTCAATTAGCTTTAGTTCAGAATACAAATTTTAGTTTATTTGTTGTTAATATATTTTTTGGATTCTCAAATGTAAATAACCACCAAAAGGAAATAGTTACATACTGAGCCATACCTTTATATGCACAAGATGTACAAGGCAGAGAAATACATATGTGTTGTCAAAAGACACTCCAGCTAGAGCATATCTTGTTTGTTCTCCTCATAGCCAGGAAACTGTAGATCCAGGTATTCCTTCTCATGACAAACTGAGTTCTATCTTAGGAGATCACCAGTGTGGAAATAATAACAACAGTGACTACCAACTTTATGGGGCACTACACAGATAAGGAGCATAAAGTATTTCAAAGGTGTTCAAAAGGAAGGTGTGTCTCCCAAATATTTTGGGGTGAGGCATCTCCTCATCCTAGTCTGTGTGCTTCCCCTTTAGTATTTTACACATTATATTATAGAATAACAGTACCTGAAGCATATTTTAAAAGATTCATTAAAAAGCATAAGTATGGCTAGTTGCATTGTATACCAGTTGAAAAACTTTAGGGTAGGTAACCATTTCCTTTATACTAGAAGAGCAAAAGCACATTACCAATACGCAGTAAAAATGGACATGCTATACTTTCTTTCCTCATTATGTTTAATCTTTTTCATTTCATTCATTTAATTATTTCCCATTGAATTGATATATTATTTTTGGCAGATATTGCTGGAATACCTATACCAAAAAATCTCAGTGGTTATTCACTGATGCCTTTAATACTGGAGAAGGCAGAAGATACAATCCCATCTAGAGAGCTACATGCTCCTTGGATTCTGAGTGAATTCCATGGATGCAACGTGAATGCTTCAACCTACATGCTGCGAATTGACCAATGGAAATACATAGCTTATGCAGATGGCCATTCAGTATCTCCTCAGTTGTTTGGTATGTTTATTATCTCTGATCAGATCTGCATTAGAAGGACAAAGTAACATTTCCAATATTGCTCAACTGCCTTTCTTCGGCTTTTTTAAACGAACAGAAGGACAATGCATCCTGGATCAGTCACATTGGTTATCCCAAACAATAGAGAATTAGATAGTGAACCTACATATACAGTACCTGCCCAAGCAGCCACATCTGCTGTAAGGACTCTCTTCTGTCCCATCAGTGGGAAACAAGTACTGTACTACAAGAAGACAAAGAGGATGTCTTTTCTGTGGTGTGACACCCCAGCTGTGGAATGCTCTCCCCATGAATGCCCAATTGATACCAGTGAAGATGCTTCATAACCAAACTAAAATGTGACTCTACACGAAAATCTTTGGGGTTTAGGATCTGGTTTTAAATTGTGGAGTTCAAGTACATGGTTTTAAATAGTTTCAAACTTTTAAAATGTCTTTACATTGTTTCATACGTATAAGGTGTTTGAAATTGTTTAAATTGCTTCTTGTAAACTGCACTGAGGTCTTTTGATATAGAATTAAATATTCTGAACACATCAATGTAACCGGTAATTAGCAGTTCCATAGGCTGAGACATGACGATTTCAAAGAGAAAAAGCAAGCAAGCTGCTTTCAGTAACTAGCAATGGCTGTTTGAGCTGCACTATGGAATCAGACTACTCAGTGTTTTCTAAAGTGTAGCATCAGTATGTTTAATTTCTTCTGATTGTTCTTTCTGTTTTTCTTTGTTGCAGACCTCTCTGCTGATCCAGATGAACTAACAAATATTGCAACAAAATTTCCAGAGATTACAGAATCTTTGAACAAAATACTTTACTCCATAATTGATTATCCAAAAGTCTCTGCTTTGGTTGAACAGTACAACAAGCAGGAGTTTATCAACTGGAAACAAGATGTAGGACAAAACTATTCTGATACCTTAGCTAACCTCAGATGGCATCAGGACTGGAAAAAGCACCCAAAGATGTATGAACATGCAATTGATCAGTGGATTATAGGGAAGACACATGTATGAGATTTACGTGGAAAGTGAAAATTAAAGTCCACTAAATAATCTGATTTTGACCATAAACAGACAATGCAGGTATAATGAGCACAGGTCTCCTGCTGCTAAGAGGCTCAGAATGTGCAATATACAGTGGTGCCTCGCTAGACGATTGGCTCGCAAAATGAGGAATTCACTAGACGACTTTTTTTGAGCAATATTGCACTTTGCAAAACAATTGTTCCTATGGTCAATTTTTGCTGGATGATGTTTGGGTCCTTGCCTCGCAAGATGGTTCCTCCCCCCATTGAAACACATTAATTACATAAGACCTACGTTTTTATCCCAAAAAAGTGGAGGAGAAAGTGTATGCTGCTGGCTTTCCAGGGTCTGCCTCTTGGAAAAATAGCAGCATACACTTTCTCCCCCAGTTTTTTGGGATAAAAACATAGGTCTTATGTAATTAATATATTTCAATGGGGGGGAAAATATCTTGCAAAGCATTGCCAATGAAGCTATGGCTGCAAATTTAAATGATAGAGAATGGTGAAAATAGCAAGGAACCAATGGGTAAAGAGATTGTAAAAAAAACAGGGAAATCACAAATGTAATCACACATTAACACAAATTATGCAGTTGAGGTCCCCACATTTGGGGAAATCACAGGGAGCAGTAGCACACCCAAAGTGCAATGGGTGAGCTTCCCCCTGGGAAAACCACTTTAATGACATGGTATTTCCTTTGCCAGGTATGAGTTGGAATGGCCCTTGCACCTCATACCCCCTTCTGTCCCCTGATCCCCCAAGGCATGGTGACCCCCTGGCTGCACCTCCCACTCAGTACAGGGCTGCACAGCCCCAGTCCTACCAGAGGCCAAGAGAACTCCTCAGTGTTTTGGGGTGCCCTGTGGGGCCCCCATCAGGGGCTAGGTGTTCTTCCCACAATCCTCTAGTGCAATCCTCTTATGCTAATTGTGGGAGGAACACCTAGCATATGCTAATACCTGTGCACCAGATGCTGGCTCTCTCTGCTTTCTAGTTCAAGGTATGGGGAGAAGAAAGGGGAAGCTTGTAGGGGTGTCAATTTTTCTTAACTGAGCACCCATTGTCACCAAACTTTAATTTTTAAAAAAAGACTTGATGCCAGCTGTAGTGTATTAGAGCACCTAAGAGGTGTGAGAGAGGGGTGGAAGAAATTGGTGATCAGCCTTTGTTTACATGGACCAGCTGGTAGAAGACTATTTGGTTTAGTTGACCAGACATGAGTCAGCAGAGAGAGGCGACTGGCAATCAGCTCTTATTTGCAGCTTGTTAAGATAGCTCTGCTATAGCCAGGTCTTCTGCAAATCTGGACAACTACAGAGAAGCTGTCTTAATAAGCTACAAACAAGGGCTGGTTGCCATTTTTTTCATCTCAGTCTAATGTTTCCTGTGTGCTCAGCTAAAGCAAATTCATCCTGGGGAACCCACCTTCCTGGATGTGAATTCACAATGGATCAATTAGTATTTTTCTGATGGTGTAGTTGCACCCTAAATCTAGATCCAAGGTAGTACTTCACATTACAGTATTAACAATATAGTACAAACATGATACTGTTGCATTGTGAATATGCATATATATATAGAATACAGATTTTACACACACACATAGTTGTACAGTTGTATTCAATGTCCCATACAGCATTATGTTCTTATTTAAGTCTTTGATGAGCAGAAGGCCTTTTGTTAAAGGTTTTGCTGCAGGAAATAAAATGAAGAGAGCTTTTACATTTTTATTTTGCTGATTATATTTCCCTAGATGCCTCCATCCCCAGCAATCTCTGGAGTAACTTTTTGGAGGGTATAAGGGATTACTAAGAAAGTCAGCAAAAGTTGTCTCCCTTGCTCCTACCAGTACAGGCAAAACCTAGATGGAACTCATTGACTGTGTGGCCCAGCCCTTAATATTTTGGCCTAATTGGTTTATGTAGCAGACTATAAGTCATTTTAGTCCCCATATAAGGCTTGTGGTGGCGATGGCCAGCAATATGTTGCTTAAATATACTTTCATTTATAGTTTACTGATCTTATAGCAATCTTTTCAGAACAGTGCTAAGTTTTGTTTTATAAGCACTGTTTAGCCTTCACATAACATACTCTACATACCGTATTTGCCAGCGTACAAGACGACTTTTGGCCCTGAAAAACATGCCTCCAAGTGGGGGGTCGTCTTATACGCTGGGTGCACTTCCAGCAAACCCTCCCTTTCTCCCAGCGAAGTCACTTACCTGGTAGTAAGACCGAGTAGACCGAGCTCCTCCTTGGTAGCCTGGGAACAGCCTGACTCTAGCGCCGAACAGCTGACTGTCGGGAACCAGCAGAGAGGCGGCAGCCATTTTGAGATGCGACCACATGGCTGCTACCTCTCAAAATGGCTGCCACCTCTCCAAAATGGCTGCCACCTCTCTGCTGGTTCCCAACAGCTGTTCAGCGCCGATGCTGTCCTTCCAGCAAACCCTCGCTCTCTCCCAGTGAATAGAACCAAAAGCGGCAAAACAAACTCTCCCCATGATGCAGCCAAAGCAGAATCACGCATGCGGAAAAGGGAGTAGTCTTATATGGCAAGTATATAACTCTACATTTTGAGTGGAAATGTTGGGGGGTCGTCTTATACGTCCAGTCGCCTTATACGCCGGCAAATACGGTACTTATTTGTTTATACTGCATTTGCAGTTCAAGTACCATACTATTTTATGTTTCACTTGGTCTGCATATCCAAAATTCGCAAACAGTTTCTTTCTAAAGCAAAACAGTACTACCCAAAGAAAATTAGTAGTGTCTGGATGTCTTGGGGACTCTCCACAAATATTAATTTGTAATTTGAATGAAAATTAAAATAAGAATGAATTGGCAGGAAATTGTGCTAAATAGCTTCTAGGATCTAATGAATGTTGGAAGTGTAGGAAGTCATCTCCATGAGCTTCTGTTATTTTATAATATCCTAGAGCATGGGTTTATGGGCAGGTAGAGGTACATTATGAAGTTAAAAGTCTTCCCTCTTTGCACTATAGGGAAAGGTTTCAAGAAAAAATGAGTGAGATCTGCTGATATCGACCTGATTCCACTTGGTAGTAATTAAGTGTTGAGATACGAAGTTGACAGCCACCTTGACTAACTAGTAGAGACTGATCCAATAGTGCAAATCAGTCAGTCTCCTGGGTTCAGGCTATCCACAGCTAGCTCACTCTTGTCTGTCTTCTAACTTATAGTCAATGTGGGGTGTCACTGGTTGTCAGCTTCTTCCTTAGCCTAGCTCTCCATCTCTGTCTTTGTGGCATTCAGCAGAGGAATCGCTCCAGACAAAGACTCACAGCATGTTTCTTCCTGGTGGCCTTCAATGACAAAATCAAACAAAAAAGAAAGTTCTGTGGCGTTGTGCTGAAACAGACTGGCACAGCCTTCACTTTGAAAAGTGCTTCATGAGCAAAGGTCTCTCTGCCCATTAAAAAAAAGCAAGGGGGAGGGAAGTAATTCTGGGGGAAGAAAGTGACATGGTAGGATTGCTCCATCCACTGCTCACTTCAGCATCACTTTAATTGACCTATTCCAGAGGCACCAGCTGCTACTGTGTACTCTTTAGCCTGAAGCATAGGGAAAGGTTTCAGCTGTGTGACAAAGATGAAAATATTTATTTTCTCTACCCTGAAACTTTTCCCCTGCAAACACTAAATAGCACCACAAGCTTCAGCTTTAGGCTGCTTGGGGTCTTGAACAGCGCTTCTGCTAAGGGGCAGGAGTATGTTGGGTTCAGGCAATGAGCAGGCTGATGAGCTTTGTGGTGATCACCAGATAATGGATAGCAAAGAGTCTCTTAGCAATAGATTAAAGAAGTCAGCCCCACATACACACAGATGGATGTCTGCCAGCAGTACTCCTGGTGGGTGACTCAGCAAGGAAGCAGAATGAGAAGTCTTCTCCGTCTGTGACGTTCTGCCCTTGGTCTCTCCTGTCCGTCTCTTCTGCCCTGCCCCCAGGAGACTGCTCTTTTATTAACATTACAAGGTCACAGGTAGTGACAGCATTACAGATAGTAAATAGAGTTCAGATAGGACAATGGTTACATCATGTTAATAGGGATGGTCTGGAGAAAGGCAATTAATCAAGCCCTCTGATTGGCCTAAGGCAAGGCCTCTATAGCAAGCTCTCTATGATAATGAGAAAGAGGAGGAATAGTGGCAGGCCCTCCCCTCAGAAGCAGCCACAGGATGCTAGGAGAGTTTTCCCTCACTAGAACACCCATGTGGCTTAGCAACCTTGGGAATGGGACCCCCCACAGGAGTAGACTGAAAGATTTGTGTGCCAGCACTTATTTATCATCTCCAGTTGCACAAACCCACCAAACTACATCATTTGGGTAGGTTATGCTAGGAGAGTTTTCCCTCACTAGAACACCCATGTGGCTTAGCAACCTTGGGAATGGGACCCCCCACAGGAGTAGACTGAAAGATTTGTGTGCCAGCACTTATTTATCATCTCCAGTTGCACAAACCCACCAAACTACATCATTTGGGTAGGTTGTTCCTCTCTCCAACAGTTCTTTTTTTTTTAAATAAACATTTTACTGGTTTTTCAATCTATCTACATTGTTTTGTGCTTGTCAAACATCGTGTTACATGTTTTGCTTACAATTATTTGTTTTTTACATCTGTGTCCTCCCGGTTATCCCCCAAATTCCAAACATCTTTCAAACATTCAAACCATTCCTATACAAATTTTAGTATATAATATGACTACTATCATAATATTACTCTCATATTATATAAAATTCTCAAGGTCTTCTAATAACATTCTTATTGAAAGTGGTTCCAGATCCATGACCCAGCTTTATATCTAGTTTAGTTTACCTAAAATAAAAAAAACACCATATTACATCTTTACCCTGATTAGGGCTCCCTTATTTCAATTTAATTCTCCTTTTTAATATACAGAATATACCCTTTTACAGTTCCAGATGATAAATATATACATGTTTTCAATATTAAGGAGCCCTTCCTTGTTTTCCTTTTTTTTTCTAGGTAATTCCCTCTCTAATTTCTCTTTTGTCATTTAATATTTCTGTGTCTCTAAGCATTCTGTCATCTTTCATGTCCTCTGAAACCATTTTGTAGATCTGATTTATGTCCACTAACTCTTTATGTGCTTGGTCTATCTTCAATGGGTCTTCCAGGCTTTTTTTGGTTAATTTTGCTGTTTTTTTCCCTTTGTCTTCCCCTAGTACTCTCCTCTGGTCCAAGACTGATATTTCTCTTAGATTAACTTCCACCAGCTGCTGCTTTGAATACCAGGATAGGGTACAATATTTGTATCCACGGCCTGATGGCCTTAAAAGTCCACTTTAGGGTTAATTTTCTAGCCTGGCACAAAGAAAGTCAAAAGGAAATAACAGCAGAGTGCTCAAGGTCACCGCTCCTAGGCTCCATGCCAAAAGACTTCAGGTAGTCAAAACAGAGTCCAGATTTATCAAGTATAACTCACAGGAAAGTTTCTCGAGCTTCACAACGCCAAACTAATATTCTTAAAATGTATTTTTAAAAGTTATTTCCTTTCCATCAGCTATCCCTCTCACCAGATTTTTTGCCGCTTTATAGTTTCTGAGATGCGATAGCAATTCTTTTTTTCCATATATAGGAATTATTTCCTCCAGGGGTATAAGCAATTAGTTATAAAAATCTCACCGATGGTAAACAGCGATGCCAGATGCTGATCGTTGCTTCTTAGCCGGCTGCCGACGACTTGCAAGCGAGCCGAGGCTGCTTGTTTCTGCCCGTTGGCTGATTAGGGAGTTTCGTCACGACGTCAAGCCGGAAGTCTCTCCAACAGTTCTGAATGACTTGGGCTTAACCTCATGGTTGAATTTGGGGAAGTTCTTGGAGAACACTTTCTCGCAGTCAACAAAACTAGGCACAGAAGTCACAACAACAAAAAGGCAGACCAAACTAAAATGGGTGGGACAATTATAACCAAATTAGATTTTCACCCACAAAACATGCAAAACACTTCAAAGCAAAACTCAGGTTTTTTGCACAATCTTCTCAGGACTAATTGCAGGAACCTGCTTCAACGTACATACATAGATGGCTTGAGTTCTGTGCAGACATTTAATTTCAATTCCTCGGTGTCGTTATTTTTGTTACGTTTCCTACACAAATGTGCTTGTTTGTCTTGGATTGGGAAGGGTTTTTTACTGCCTAATGTTGGCTTTTTTTCAATTGCACCCCTTCTCATTATATGATGTCTATTGAACATTGTAGGCCAAGAGATACACTTTTTTTTCAAGAGAAAGTGCACAAAAATGTGTCCAAAATCCAAATCAAAAATGTAGTCAAGGTAGCCAGAAATCAAAACCGTAAAGATTATATAAAATTTCGCAAAAGAGAGCTCTAGCAAAGTGGTTCCAGTCGCAGCATTGGAAAAAACTAAACTGAGGCGCATGGAGCATGCGTGGTAGGGATAACGTGCCACTAATGTTTCTTATCTTAAGCTCTAGAATATTCCAGGGATCCAGCGCAAGCGCAGTTTAAACCCAGTTGTGTGCATTCAGAGGCCACATAGAAGAATACACTGTTACCACAATTTTCTGGAGAAAAATAGTACAGTGATGCCTCGCAAGACGATTTTAATTCATTCCGTGAAAATCAATGTCTTGTAAAAAAAATCATCTTGCAAGGTTCCCTACGCATCGGTCTAAAAAAAAAAAAGTCTTGCAAAGCACGGTCATAGAAAAAAATCTTGCGAGGCACCATAGTGATCGCAAAAAACAATCGTCTTGCCGGTTTTTCGTCCCGCGAGGTAATTGTCTAGCGAGGCACCACTATATTAGGAAAACCACCATTGGACTAGATAAGGCCTTCTGAGTATCCATCATTCTATCCAGTACGCCAGTGGGCCTCAACCTTGGGCCTCCAGATGTTCTTGGACTACAACTCCCGGAAGCCTTCACCATCACCTCTGCTGGCCAGGATTTCTGGGAGTTGAAGTCCAAGAACATCTGGAGGCCCAAGGTTGGGGACCCCTGCAGTACGCCACACTGAATATCTAGATCAGGCTTGTCCAACCTGCGGCCCGAGGGCCTCATGCGGCCCAGGTCAGCTCGTAATGCGGCCCAGTGCATTTTTTTATTTTTAAAGAAATTCCAAAGTTTCAAGTTACACTGCCGGCACTTGCGGGCGAAATGTGGCCGGTGCATGTCACAACAGTAGAGGGGGAGAGAGGAAAGGAAGGAAGGAGTGGGAGGGGAGGAGACAGGGGGGCTGCGTGACTGCATTGAGCCATCCCCGTCAATAGGTGGGACCCCCTCCCGGCCCCATAAAACCACCGGAGTCGAAGCTGGCAGCCTCTGCTGTCTGAGATTGCAGCTGCCGGTCAGAGCGCTTGGAGAGGGGCTGCGGAGGATGGCTAGGGCTGCCAAACCAAATTTTCATCTTCTAATGTGGCCCAGGGAAGGTGAAAGGTTGGACACCCCTGATCTAGAGGAAGTCTACTGAAGAAAGAGGTGTCATCAGAAGCCTTACTGAGCACACAGTGGTTAAGTGCTCACGATCTGAGTTTGACCCTGATGGGTTTGAGGTTGACTCAGCGTTCCATCCTCCTCCCAAGTCTGATAAAATGAGTAACTGGTTTGCAGGGGGTGGGGCAGGGCAAAGCATTCCTTGCATAATTCTGTAAGCCTCCCAGAGAGTGCTCTAACACTATGGGGTAGTATGCAAGTTGAAACAACAATAGGCGTGCTGCCTGAAAGGTGTGAATAGCACTGCAACCTTCACATTAACTTTCAGAGGTAAAAGTAATTATTCTGTCAGAAACATCTGCAGTTGTAGAATACTGCAGCTAATACTGCTCATATACAAAACCTTTAAACCTCTGACAAGGCCACATATTTTCACATAATTGCAAGAAAGCAACATTTTATTATAAAGCATTTTTAAAGTCTTTCACTTTTGCAAGGTATATTTTGTTTTCTCTCACCATCTGCCCACACAGATTCCTGACCTAGCCTTCATTACTGCTGGCTGTGAACATCAAGCAAACAAATCACAATGAACAGAAAATTGTGATATCATATGCTCTCTATACAAATTTTTTATATATACTGTATACCGTATATACATTATATTCAGTATTAGTTGTCATTGCCTGGAACATGGCAAATTTAAGGTGGGCACTGATCTATGCAACTTGCTTGTATAGCAATAGCAGCACTCCCTAATTATTATTATTTGCCATTTTCTCTCAAACCAGAGATAAACAGGAGAATCTGAAAATAAAACATCAAAAATCTTGCTCTGGTGAATGAAAACAACGGTTCATGCCTAATATTTTCCTGATCAGTTTACAAGAACAGTTGTGCTGTCAACTTATGTTGAGATGCCATAATTTATAGGATGTCTTCTAACCAGCTAAATTTGGTGAATGTATGAGGGATTCTCAACTGCTTTGAACCTAATCCTATGGTAAAATGAGCAGAATTCCAGAGAGCTGAAAATATTGGGTTGTGGCTTATCATTTCCAGCACAAACACATATACAGGGCAATAAGCCCTACAAACATAAAGTAACATCTACATCTCAAGCTGTAGGGATCCACTGAATTTTCCCCCTTGGTTTCCAATAAAGTGTGTGACCTGATATCCTTAAAACTGAGTAAATTTTCCTATAGTTGAAGCTGACAGCCTGATTTGGATAACTGGATTCAGCACCCGAAATATAACCTCTCTAATAAAGTGTACTTCTGACTTCATTTGTTTCCCTAAAACAGTAGTTTGCCCTTCTCAGTGGACTTGTGTGAAGAGGAAGAGTTTTCCAGATCTGAGACCAGGAGCAGCAGGTGAGACTGTGCACTGTCATTTCCGAAGGATTTGCTTCGGGGTACAGTCCCGGGTCAAACGGGTAAAGGGAACCCTGGCCGTTAGCCTGCCCTCAGTGAGCTGGAGAGACGGCCTTTTGTCAGCACAAGCGTCTTCTCCCTCCGTCGCCCTTCCGGCCTGGGGCAAGGCGTTAGAAGCCGCTCTCGCAAGCCAGAGGGGCGGCCGGGGTCTGCACCGCTTCTCGCCGGACGACGGTGGAGACGGAAAGCTCTTTGGTCTGGCAGGGGCACAGCCAACGTGCGGGGCGCTCGGCCGACAGCTGTGGCGGCGGATGGTGTCGGGGGCGAGCCCGTCGCCTCGGCTGCCCGTCGGGGCAGCAGCAGAGGCTGCGCTGGAGGCGCCGCGCCCAGGGCCGGTGGCTGTGGAACACGAGGCAGACGTAGGGGTTGAGGGCGGCGTTGGTAGCCGCCAGGAGGCTGCCCAGCGTCGCCTGGGCCTCTTCGCCGGTGACCCCGCGGGGGCCAAAAGCCACGCCCAGCTCCAGGAAAAAGCGCGGGAAACCGCAGAGGGCGAATAAGGTGGCCAGTGCCAGCGTCAGCTGTAGGGACCGGGCTCGGGCGCGGGGTAGAGTCCGCGGCGTCGGCGGCGAAGGCAGGACGCACTGGGCCACCGGCCACAGCCGCAGGAGTCTCGGCGGGACGGGAGAGGCGACACCCGGCAGCTCGGCGGCCCCGTGGCGGGCGCTGCCTCCTTCTGCCAACCCCCACGGCGGCGGCTCCGGCTCCTCCTCCAACTCCTCCTCCTGCTTGGTGCGGGAAGAGCTGAGCGCCCAGAGGATGCGACCGCAGGTCGTGCCCAGGAGGCAAGCGGGCGCCACGAAGCCCGTGACAGCCCCGTACAGGGCATAGGCTTGCCCGTGCCAGCGGGGCAGCTGGGCGAAGATGCTGAGGCAGCGGCCGCCGAGCTGCGGCGGGGCCGGGCGGAAGACGAAGGCTTGAGGCAGGGCGAGAAGCAGCGC